CCCCTCGACTTGTTTTATATATTACTGACAAATTATGAATTGGATACCAGATAACCCATTCTGGTTCAAAGATCAAGCTAATAACTTTGCAGTACACTTTTGATATATAACCTAACCTTTTAAAACACAAGACTCTAGGAACTTTCCAAAAGTCAGAAAAGGTGAAGTGTGTTTGCAAATCACAGTGGAACTGCTCTTCACAAGCACTTCAGGGGAAAGAAAGCAATAGTGTCCGGAGGCAACAGAAGGACTTACATCCAGTGAGATAGTTCATGATGTATTTACTTTAGAATAAAGCTAACTCTTTAGCATCCTCTGTGTGTGTGTGTGTGTGTGTGTAGGTATTAAAACACAAAACAAGACATTAAAGTCAGTCCTCAAGTTTTCTTCTTTTCAGTTGTCCAGAATTGGATGCCAATGCTATGTAAAAGTGCATCCATATTAATCTGTTTCATGGGATTAGTAGAGAAGAGCAGATAATTTTGTTTACTGATATAACATGACTAGAGAATACAGTTTGATATAATAGAAGAAATATAAGGTATCTGTTGGGGTTTTGGATGGATGGGGGAAATGTGGAGGAAGGTACATCAAATTTTACTATAAGTGGCTTCTTAGCTTTTAGAAGAAAATATAAAATCGTAAAAGATAGTGACAGTCTTAGAGAATAAGAATACTTAAGTGAAAGAGTCAAGAGAAAGAGGGACAGAAGAAGAAATGAGAGTGGAGTGGGAGGGATACTTTTCTTTAAAAACACATAATGTGTGGTCAGTGCGGTGGCATGGGAGATCTCTCCCAGGGGCAGATCTGTCTCTGTCCTTCTGACAACTTAAATAATTTCACAGGTAATTGCTAAAAACCATGAAATACCCTTTTCACCTTTTGTGTGTGGAGCTCAGGTTGTTCAAAATGTCCAAGTTAATTAACATGAACTCTGCTTTTTAGGTGGGGAAGGGGGATGGTCCTAATTAGCCTTGCCCAGCTGATGAGTCCATTTGGTCACAAGGGTTGGGACTCTTGCTCGAGGATATTCTGCAGCTCAGCTGTACAATCTGAATTGAACACAGTCTCTTGATACCCTATAGCTTAGTTCCTCCCTCCCTGTTTCCCCCTTCTCTCTCTCTTTCTTTCTATCTCACTTAACTATATACAAAACTAAGTCTATAAATGCTGGGAGAATCTTTAATCTTCAGTTGAGGAATCCATTTCATTTTCAACATTCACCAATATTTGTCATAAAGACAGACAATTTTTTATTCTCTTCTCTATTGTCCTATTAGCTTGACTCAATAAACAGTTTCTCTTGAAGCTGCTTAACTCCTTTTGTACATTTGTTGGCTGGGGGGAATGGGTGAATAATTTTTAAAAACATTTTCTAAATCTGTTTGCTTTTAGTTCTGGGATTTTTAAAAAAATCTGTTTTGGATCAATTTGCCATTGAATCTCAAATCTGAATCTCCAGTCAGGCTCACTAACTGATTATCAGTGGTCAACCTGTCTGGTTTTCATCGCTGGGTATATCCCAGTGGTTGGTTTGCGCTAACATTTGCCCACAGGTAAAAAGTAGCCATATGGTTCTGAAGGATAGTTTCCTTGACACATTGAGTTGATACACAGATGGGGATTTCTCCCTCATTGTCTAGGTGTTCTCCATTTCTTTAGAGTTGTTCTAAGCTCTGCCCTCGTTAGAATACTGCACAGATTCTTAGGTGAACTGTTACATCGTGGAGCTTGTGTTCTGTGGTTTATAATATGTTTTGGGCCACATCAAAGAAAGAGAAGCCATATGGAGTGTAACAGCTTAAACGAAAGGCAACAGAAATTGTCAGAAGAAGTTAACCCAAAGGCAGCATTGAAAGACAGGGGTCAGGCGAGGGGGCAGGAGATGCAAGCATGGCTGAAGCAGGCAACAGTGGGACATGCGTTGGGTCATAGGATAATATTCTCTGGAGGAGAAAGATACTTTTAAGCTGTTAGAAAGAAATGTAATAAATATTTCACAAGCCTGCCAAGAAAAGCAAGAGGTGGAGAAGTATTTATCATCTAGAGACCTCCATATAGTTGATTTCCTCCTACACCAGGAAAGGAAAAAATCGTTTAGCTTATCTTTATAATATGATTTTTATTTTTTGCTTACTGAAATTAAATTGGACTGAAATAAGGAAGAACCATGGACTGTCAAAAGGCTCAAATAAATAATGGATGCATATTTCATTATAGCTTCACCCCTAAGCATTTGTAAAATAGACAAATAGTGTAAACATTACCTGATAGTCAGTGACTGAAAAAATCAAAGGTATTTAGCCACAGTTAGGTGAATGTAGCTTTCTTTTTTTCTGTATAAGACCGTGGTAGTTCTGGATATCAGTGTTTTCTTTCTCACTCCAGGTTGCCTATTTAATTCCATTTTTTCTTTTTTTGCACACAATGGATCATGTATGTTAAGCCAGAGAAAGGATGTCTTAGCATGCCACTGGCAGAAGACTGGAACAGGAGTGGTTGGCATAATAGAAATCTTTCCAAAGTGACACTTAAGCTGAATCTTAGGAAAAAGTGAGTTGGCAGAGAGGCACCTGGGTGGCGCAGTCTGTTAAGCATCCAACTCTTGGTTTTGGCTCAGGTCATGATTTCCAGTTCACGGGATGGAGCCCCCCCCCTCGGTCTAGCGCTCAGCATGGAGTCTGCTTGAGATTCTCTTCCTCTCCCTCTGTCCTTCTCCCTCACTCGCTCGTGTTCTCTCTCTAAAATAAATAAATCTTAAAAAAAGAAAGTGAGTTGGCTGAGGTAGGTGGTCTGGGCAGGGAGACCCGCAGGGGCAAAGGTGCTTGCCGAGCTGTGGGAACTGCATGCAGTTCAGTGTGGCCAGCCCACGCTGTTAACAACTCTAATCACTTAAAGGCTGACAAAACACAACAAACTAAAAATATGTAAGGTCCAGCATGTGGGATCATGATTTGGCTCTGCTGCTTCCAGGCTGAATAACCCTGCACAATTTACTTGAGTTGTCTAAGCCTCAGTTTTCCAATCTGTAACACGATAATTGTACCTCCCCATGTGTGTTATTTTGAAATCATTCATTTGAAGTGTTCAGAACAGTGCCTGTCAGATCATAAGGAATAGGTGTTAACTTTTTTTTTTTTAAAGATTTTTATTTATTTATTTGACAGAGAGAGACACAGGGAGAGAGGGAACACAAGCAGGGGGAGTGGGAGAGGGAGAAGCAGGCTTCCCGCTGAGCAGGGAGCCCAATGCGGGGCTCGATCCCAGGACCCTGGGACCATGACCTGAGCCGAAGGCTTAACGACTGAGCCACCCAGGCGTCCCTGTTAACTCTTGATTGTAAGTAATAAGTCCCAATTTTAGTATTAGTTTACCTCCCTTATTATGCACGCATGTTTTGCCATCAATGGTGATTGTTGCTAAATCACCCTGTTATCGCTGTTTGATGGAGCTCCCAGTTCTCTTCTGTTGGCTCCAGAGATTTCTTTACTATTCCAATGAGATTGATGTCCGCATTACATTTGTTACTTGTGGACTAATAAAATAATATTATAGGCTTCACTTTGAAAAAGATTCACTGGCTGGAGTCTATAAAAGTCCTTTGTTAGTGTTTCTGTTATATGGTCCAATTAATTAAGCTGAAGAAAGGACTCATATTTTATGACTTGCAGCCCTCTTAGACTGGGGTATTATGGAGCCTCCTTGGTGGGGATAAGCTTTCTCTTGGAGTGTTCAGCCCTAATGCTGGGTTGGAATGAGACAGGCCTGTTCAGCTAGAAAACTTAGAAGCATCACCTTAAAAATATGCCTGCCTCAGTTAAGAATAAAAGGGTTAAGATTTGGGATTCCTGGGTGGCTCAGTCATTTAAGTGTCTGCCTTTGACTCAGGTCATGATCCCAGGGTCCTGGGATAGAGACCCTGCTCAGCGGGGAATCTGCTTCTCCCTCTCCCTCTGCCTGCCGCTCCCCCTGCTTGTGCTCTCTCTTTCTCTCTCTGACAAGTAACCAAATAAATAAAATCTTTATTAAAAAACGGTTAAGATTTTTTTCTAGATGCAAAAAACAGAGGTTACATTAAAGAAGTGGAAATGACACATACTTGGCAATTCTTGGGCCTTGTGTGGGGCTACTGAAGAAAACAGGGTGATCTAAGTGGCCAGCTTTGCAAAATTGAATAAAACTTAAGTTGTTTCTAGCAGTGAGCAATATGGGAGAAACTTTCTGCAAAATTGTACCATCATCCGTTTTAAATCATGGTTATAATAATAGTTCCTCCACCTCAGGATTGTTGGGAAGATTGGGTGATAGAAAACCTGCAACATGGTCTCCGTAGTGCATGGCAAAGTGGGAGGGCTCAGTATATGTCACCAATTACTACCCCAGTAGGAGGGTACAGGTAGCTTAGTTTGGTCATTAAATCGAGTATAGCTGGGTTTGAAACCCAGCTTGTTACTGAGAGCCATCTACCAGTCTGCAATGGCTTATCCTTCTATGCTTCAGTTTCTTTGCTATAACTAGACATGCATTGTTGGCCGTGTCAGAGGGGCTTGTGAGGAGTACAGGCATGAGCATCCAGAAAGCACATGCAATACTGTCTGGCCCATAGTAAGCACTAAACCAAGTATGAACTCTTAACAGCAGTAATTCTATTGCAAACAATTCACATCTGCCCCCAAAGCACAGAATTATCGTACTTTTCCATTAAATTGACACGTTTAGATAAAATAATTGTCTTGGTAGTTTACAGATGTCTAAGTTGTGAAACTAATTTCATTTGTATCTTTTGAATAGTCAGATTCTATATTATTCTGTATTAATTGTTCTGCAAACATTAACCATAAAACACTGAACCATTTACTGACCTTTTTGACCTTCAGAAATATGATCTGCATTACATTTTTTCAAGAAAACGGTTCAATAACTCTTCATTATCTTCTCTCTCTGGGGATCTTGGTGAGTTGTAGAAGGTGGCATTGAGGTGATGGGGCGCTTCTGCAAAGACGGCGGCCGCTGCGGCAAGAGGCACTCGGCTGGCGGCCTGGGGCGGAAGGGAGACTGCGGCGTGGGATCGCTGCCGGCCAGCGAGGTTTGCCGGTCCCCAGCCCCTTGACCGCGGCGTGGCCGGTGTGGCCCTGGCAGGCACAGGAGTGGCATGGTACCATGGCCGCATGAATGTCGTGGCACCTGAGGGCAGCCTCACCGTCTTAGCACAGGAAAATGTTGACTCTGGAGAGATGGGAGAAAAATTGTCCCTTCGTAAACAGCGCTTCATGCAGTTTTCTTCACTGGAAATGAAGGAGAATATTGTATGACACCACGAGACTTAACACTTTTCAGGAATGTTTGATAAAATGGAACGTAAAACTTCAGTGAAGAAGCTGACAAAAAAGGAATCCAACCAGCTCATTGTGGATCAACCTTTTTTAGAGACCTTGGCGATAAAGGCCTAATTTCATATACTGAGTATCTTTTCTTGCTTATAGTGCTCACTAAACCTCTTACTGGGTTTCATGTTGCTTTTAAAATGCTGGATGCAGATGGTAATGAGATGGTTGAGAAAAAGGAATTTTTTAAGCTACAGAAGATCGTAAGTAAACAAGATGACTTGAAGACAACAATAGCTAATGAAACAGAATGCCAGGAATCAACAGTGAAAGAACCTGAAATTACCACAACCCTTCAGATACATATTTTTGGAAAAAGAGGAGAAAGAAAACTTCATTATAGGGAATTTCGAAGATTTATGGAGAATTTACAAACGGGGGTACAAGAAATGGAATTCCTTCAGTTTTCTAAAGGTTTGAGTTTCATGAGAAAAGAAGACTTTGCAGAGTGGCTACTTTTCTTCACTAACACTGAAAATAAAGACATCTATTGGAAAAATGTAAGAGAGAAGTTGTCAGCAGAAGAGAGCATTAGTTTGGATGAGTTCAAGTCATTTTGTCATTTTACGACCCACTTGGGAGACTTTGCTATTGCTATGCAAATGTGAGGTTTAGCTCATCGTCAGACTGGCGGAGCTTAAGAGGGCCGTGAAAGTAGCAACAGGACAGGAACTCTCAAACTATATTTTGGACACCGTCTTCAAGATCTTTGATGTGTATGGTGATGAATGTCTTAGTCATGGAGAGTTTCTCAGGATTTTATTTTATTTTATTTTATTTTTTTAAAAGATTTTATTTATTTATTTGAGAGAGAGAGAGAAAGCATGAGGTGGGGAGGGTCAGAGGGAGAAGCAGACTCCTCGCTGAGCAAGGAGCCCGATGCGGGACTCGATCCCAGGACTCCAGGATCATGACCTGAGCCGAAGGCAGTCGCCTAACCAACTGAGCCACCCAGGCACCCTCTCAGGATTTTAAAAAACAGGATGCATCGAGGTTTATGGGTACCACAACAACAAAGTGTAGAGGAATACTGGAAATGTGTGAAAAGAGAAAGCATTAAAGGAGTAAAAGAAGTCTGGAAACAAGCTGGAAGAAATCTCTTTTAGAAAAAGATAATCTGGGAATCATAGCTCCAAATGTCAGAATTTGGAATTTGTTTAAAATACTAGATTTTTGTCTTCTTGATTTTCTTTGTAATATAAAGATGCCTTGTATTTACTTTCTGAATCAATAATTTCTTAATAAAATTTCATAAAAGAACTTAGTAAAAATAGATACATTCTGTCAGAGGGCCTAGAATTGAAGTAATGCTTTGTACTTTGATAAGATGGAAAACCTAGTTATTCATTGATTTCTTAGACACAGTAGTACAACGTGCTCTTTGGAAGGGTGTCAGCTAGTACTTACAGAAAAAAGTGTTTGATACACAAGGCCAATATCAAGTCCAGGAGTCCTGATGTTCCCAGTAGGGCAAATTAAATTAAAAACTTCTCAGGTTTTCTCATCTGTATTTCGTAACTCATAAGCTTCTTGTGTATTTTATTTCAGTTAGTTGTATATTAGTTGTCTTAAAAATAATGTGTAAATTTCAATATCCTATGTAGAAAAAGAATAAAGTATTTACACAGATTAAAAAAAAAAGAATGTGGCATTGATTATTTACTTTTTACATTTTGTTTTATCCGTGGAGAAACAGTTGGGTTGTATGTGGGTGATACTTGTCTTAGGAACTAAGGACACACTTTTTTGGTTTGTTTTTGGCATTAAAATGGTAAAGAATATAGGGGTTCAAGAAACATTTTTTTGAGACAAATTCTGCCACTCACTCTCCTTCCTTTATATAACCCCTCTCAAAAATAAACAAAAACCTATAGCTAAATTCTATGCTGAATCACCACAGCAGGATGTCAGAAAGGATTGAAACAATAGTATTAAAACAAATTTCTGTCTTTCCAGTAAACCTGGCATTCTTATTGGGACCTGAGGAGAGTAAATCTAATTTGTCTATGACTGGGAAATCTGTAAAGAAAGAGGTCAGGAGAGATAATATTACCAAAGAGAAGCATTCCAGAAAGGAAGGTTCTGGGCTCTAGTAGCCAAGAGAATGGAGAGGACTTCCCCACACTAGAACAGGAGATGGGACACAGGTCTCTCACTATGATGGTAACAGGGGAGTGGTGAAGTGACTGGGCAGAGCCTGAGGTGCTGGCTTTGCAAAAGGCAGTGAGCATCCACCCCTATACCTGGAAACTGAGTCTCCAACTTGGATCCTTTCATACATGTAGGAAGATAGTCAGAGATGAGCCTATTTAGTATAACTAAGAAGACTGGCAGTGTGGGCCTCTGACACTGAGTCACAAGTAATTTGGATTCCAGTCATTCATTTATTCATGAATATTTACTGAGGGACTGCTACAAGCTAGGTACCAAACTTGACCCTAGATATACAGTGGAGAGAACAAAAGAGACAAGATTGCTGCCCTCATGGAACTTATCTTCTGGTGGGATAAAACAGGTAATAAGAGAACAAACTAATGGACTGGATGCTGTAGAGAGTGATAGGTACCATGAAGGCATACCGGATAGGAGGGAGAGTGTCTGAGGAGTTGAAAGTTCTCCTTGAGGAATCTGGGAGAGACTTAAATGAGGAGAAGCAGTCACCCATGCATGTGTAGATCTGGAGCAGAATATTCTAGACAGAAGGGTCAGTTTGTGCAGAGAGTATGAAGCAGGAGTGACCTAGAAGAACACCACTGTTGATGGAGAGAATGAGAGGAGATGTGATCTAAGAGATGGGCAGGAGCAGGTCACTTGGAGCTCTGTAGGCCATGGCACAGGGTGTAGATTTTATTCTAAGTGGGATGAGAAGCCACAGAGCTTGGAGCAGAAGGGAGACATAACATGATGCACATCTTGTACAGTTCACTTTAGCTGCCGTGGGCGGAGATGCAAGAAGGCATGCTGGCCCCTCCGGTGAGAGGCCGTGTGCATTAAGAGATGAGGATGTCTTGGGCAAGGGTGGTCTCCGTGGAGGCAGAGAGCCCTCAGGGGGCTCAGGGTGCACCCTGCAGATGGACCTACAGGACTCGACCAACTCCATGCAGGTAGGAAGAGAAGAAGGGAGTCGAAGGAAATCTCTTGGATTTTGTACAGTACATGGTGACGCCATGAACTGAGACTGAGGACTGGGGACAAGAAGAAAAAGACTTTTGGGGGAGAAAAGGTTTTGAATTAGCCATATTACATTTGAGATGACAGTGGACAGGCAAGTGTAAATGTCAGATTTGCAATTAGAGATTTGAATTTGAAGCTCAGTGGGGAGGTCAGAGATAAAAATAGAAATTTGGGAGGCATGGATGTGTAGTTGGTTTTTAAAACCATGGCACTTGGTAAAGTCCCATGGAGATTTGTCTGCTTTTTTTTTCTTTAACAGGCAATATCTAAATCAAAATGAAACAAAACACCTGCAACGTTTCATTTCGGTCATTGTTTTACCTTCAGACTTTCAAATACCATTCTCTTTCAAGGCTGTTGCTGTTAAATACATATTTCATTGGATGTTTTCACATTCCCTGTGACTTACTATCAGGAACGTCCTTCACTTCAAGTCTTGATCGGTTTCTCTATCTCTAGTTTTGTTTCTGTACCTTCAGACCCTCAGACAAAGGCAGCTGATGCTCCATAATTCCCCGAGGCCATGAGTGTCTTAATGAGGACCCAGGGAAGAAGCATCTGAAGAGTTAGACAATAATTTATTTGAGCATAAGAAGGAAGATCCATATTTAGATAATTCTCTTCCCACAGCATCATTATCTCAATGCTTCTGCTGACAGCCTTAGAGATAATAGCATTCAAAATGTAAATAATGAAACAATACACATGGTAATGAGGGAGACTCAGAAAATACAGTAGTAATGAAAAAATAACAAGACAGCGATTCTAATATTGTAAATACACAAGTTTGCATTGGTGACAGATTATCTCTGTAATGCCAAGCTGTAATAATTTCAAAGCCAGTGTAACAACTGCTGAACAACATACAAGGTGTCAATCCAGTGCCAGTTAATACATTTAGAGAATTAGGCAGGCTCTGAATAATTATGAGCATAGGCGGATCTAGAATGGGCAGGTTGCTGCGAAGTATGGGAGTGGCAGACTGCACAGCAGCTAACATAAAGAGCGCTTCTAGGCAGGTGCATGTAGGAAATCAGAGGCAGAAAAATATTAAAAAAAAAAAAAATCAAAAGCCACAGACTTGGCTACATATGCAAAAAACCCATTAGAACCACTCTGTTGAATAGGCTGAAATCTGTTTTCTACAAATAGGAAAGGGCTTAATTATTTTCCAACCTTACTCTTCCAACGCGCTCTGTTGGATTTCTGTTTCCCTATCCCTTGGTTGCCTTGCTGGCATAATTCATGCTTTTCCAATATTAGCAGAGTCACATCTTATTAATAGGGACTCATATTGGGGTAGTAAAAGTTTCAGTGTTGTCTAAATCAATCTCACGTTTAGTTCACAGCCTCTCACTTCCTGTTGTCTTAGGTCTGACCAGAGGGCCGGGCTTGTGTTCTCTCACTTCTCTTCATTCTTCACTTCAACCCCAAATATCACCCCTGGGTCTTCCAAGGGGAAGGAGAAGGCTGACTGAAGGAAGCCTTGACTTGTTGGGATTCAACGTTGTTGTCTCTGTAGGGCAGAGGTTCAGATGTTGGATCCTTCATGGGACATATTTATGTGGTATTTTGGAAGTCCTCTGAGAGCTCTGACTTGGGCCATTTGTCCTCATCATTTGAGATGCACCTCTAAGCTTCTTAATGCTGGAGTCCCTTCGACCCAACAAGCTGCTTCCTTGGGCAGGATATATCCACTTCCTAATCCCTGGAATCTGAATGTTAATGGTAAATGGGATTTTGTAGATGTGATTAAGTTAAGGATCTTGAGATGGGGAGATTCGCCTCGATTTTCCAGGTGGATCCAATGTAATTACAAGGGTCCTTGTGAGAGGGGGGTGGAGGGTTGGAGTCATATTGAGAACATGTAAAGACAGAAGGAGAGGTCAGAGAGGACAGAAGATGCTACGCTGCTGGCTTTGAAGATGTAGGAAGGGAACATGAGCCAAGGAATGTAAGCAGTTTCTAGGAGTTGGAAAAGACAAGGACACAGATTCTCCCCTAGAGCTCTAGAATGAAAGTGGCCCTGCAGACCCATTTTAGCCTTCTGACCTGCAGAACTCCAAGAGAATAAATTTGCATTGTTTTATACCATGAAATTGGTGGAATTCCTTGCAGTAGTAAAGGGAAGCCAATACAGGTACTTTCCAGATGGCTTGGGTTTTGCATGACGTCCTTTTGAGCTGGCCTTGCCAAATGATCAGAGCACAGACTACTCCCACAGCTGCTCCCCCTCCTCACCCCGGTACAACGGCTCTGGTCGATCTCCATCTTCAGAATCCTGAAGGCAGAGACAGGCACCAGTTTCAAGGTGCCCCGTTGCCTCCCAAACCCAAGGGAAGCATGTCAAACTCTCCCCAGAATATTTTCACAGTGGATTTGAACTGCAGCTTATGACTACTCACAGTGAAGGGAAATGGGCATCTCTTTTCCTTGCCCTTCTAATTATCATGAGTAGTCTGCAGAACCTTCCCTACTTTCTTTAAAAGGGAAGAGTCCTCTCTACTTCATCACATTGAGAAAAGAAAAGTCAAAATGTGTCCAAGACCTGGTAACTACTTAATTTCTATGGTTCCCCCAGGGAATTGCTAGTCAGTTATTTATATAGGCTC